GTAAATTATCATGTCTAAATGATCGGTGTGCAATAAGGCTTTTACTTGGTGTTACGTAGATTGCTGGTTTTAATGATGATATATGATAATAATAATTCACTGATTATAAATTGAAAACTAAGTCAATATATAATTTCAGAGTAACTGGCTGGTAAATTAAAAAGAAATGAATTATCGATGATACTTCCACAATACTCGCGACACTACACAACATATCTCGCACGATCGAAATGCGTATTTACGTTGTTACTCGTCGAGGTTGGAAGACCATCGATTTTACTCATCATAATACAAACTTAATAATCTAAAATAGCCATTTGAAATATAAGGGCACATTTAAGGACACTTTAAATCTTATACAAACTTTTAAATTAATCAATAACGAAACTTTAATGGAAGTAGCTCGAAAGTTTCAACGGAATTACAACTTTAAATCCACTGACCGACGAGCTAATGTAACTATTATGGTATTAGGCTGACCTCAGCTTCCAGACAATAACCTTGAAAGCTGTATTCAAGTAAGACAGTAGCATATTTTATAGGTGACAGTAGATTACCTCGAGTGTTCTTAAATCCGATAGTGGTGACAAAATACGGCCCTGGCAGTGGATATAACCATAGCATAGCTTGTGGTCAGACGTGAAACTTGAGAGCTACTGTTTTGAGCAAAAAATATTTATTCCCTACTATTCAGCACTAAATCTAGCCAACACTAACGCATCTAACGTAAAACATCGACAAATCTTAGTCTAAGCGAGGTCCTGAGACCGACTTTGTGAATCAAATGTGCTATCCCGATAAGGTGTTCTATGCAAATGACTTATAATCTATTTTTTGTAACTCATTTTTATATCAAATTTACCGTTAAACTATATTCTAATTAATCAGACCGTGTGCCTAACTCTACAGTCTACGGTTATTTTCCTGAGGTATTTTGATACATTAAAATATTATTAATGTGTACTATTCACAGTGTCAGATCGGCCACGACGTGTCGATGATCCTTACTCTAGCAGAGGTTGTGCGGTCGAACTTTAAATATCTACAGTTTACTCATTCTAGGAAAGCAAAACATCTAATCTAACATTTATTTGATCAAGATTGCAGTAAATTAAATAATAACGTCTGAATATACGATAAAACACAAAGGGGTTTGACCATCGGGCTGGCATGTTGCATCTTACAAAACGTCTTCCACAAGTTGTTTGTTGCTTTTTGTAAACCAACGGTATTTAATATCCGAGCCTAGATTACAACTCAACTTGCGAATAGTTATAAAATAGGCAAAATACTAAATAAAATTATCAACTGATTTTGAAATGTGTACGAACTTTAGAGCGGGACTCGGACCTGCTACCTCGATTCGTGGGTGTGCTACTCACTGAGCAAGGAACTTAGTGGTGGCCTTACGCTTGGAACGTGAACAAAGATCGATCGCAACGCTCAAGTAGAAAAGTAACTATACTTAGAAGCTTACATTACTAAATCGATTATATATTGAGCTACATGTATTGGGAACAGATAGAAATAGAGCAAGACGAGTCAGCAAACAAATGTAACAACAAAATGTAATCTCCCGAATTTGCAAACATAGAAACGCTTAAATGTAATTGAGAATTTATACTATTGAAACATTGCATTATTTACATGGCAGAAACAAAATTTAACCAACTGTCCTGATCTACATCAGTACACAAACTTAAAGTAAAATAAATAATATGGCTTAGTGCTTTTCGGGACTGAGGACATGATACTAGATCTCAGTAGAGAGTATGTCTTAAATTATTTATGATGAGGTGCTACCTAAAAATCCATGTATGTTAACCGCACGTAAATGGACCGTCCAGTTAGTAAGAGTGAAAACACTAGCTTGACTGTGTCTAAATTGAATCCGAGGATCCGGTCTAAAACTTTGCGATACAACGCACATGGAAATTGAGTCTTAAATCATAATTAAGTACCCCCAAAAATGCGTTATCACCATAGCTTTGACAAATTAAATTTAAATGAAGATTAATCAAGAAGCACAGCACATTGAATCCTTTAATATGAAGAAAAGGGGAGGGGGAGGTGGGCCAAACCTAATCAGTTTCGGTTTATTGCTCACCCTAAAATATAGGCACTAAGGCACCATAGGTATTAGGCACCGTCAGAAGCCGTCGCCGCAGCCTTAGCTGTATGGTACAATTGTATGGCAAACTATTGTAATATATCATAACAACGATATTGATTATACTGTATATCTCTTATTTACATCTGAATCTCTAGAGCGACTAACCTACGCATGCATTACCCTATAATAAGTTATTATTCAACGGTAAGTGTAATTAAACCATAATGAAACCATGATGAAATCAGAACGAATAACGTTAATTGGCAATAAACATAACCTTCATAAATCATTTAGAAATCCACACAATCTTAATTTTGAAAACATATCAATTTCAAATCTCAGTACTAGAAAATATAGTAAACTAAGTAAAAACTTAATATTAACTAATCCTAATCCTAACCTACCACTACTTTTTTTGGATTTTTTCATATACTTTTTTTTTGTATATTTTTAAGTTTTTTATTTTTTTTTTGTATATTTTTAAGTTTTTTATTATTTTTTGTATATTTTTAAGTTTTTTATTATTTTTTTTGTATATTTTTAAGTTTTTTATACACCACAACATTTAATTACTAACACAAGCAGCTTCAAGGGCCGGTTATAAAAGCGTTCTAACTCTATATTATATACTATTAAGTGTAGTAACTACGATGTGGATTATAGAATTGGCTTTCAGAAGCAGAACCACTCTGTTCATGTTAATTGAAAGAGTAAACAATTCACTGTGTTGTTTTGTGCATATTAAAAGTTAAGTATACGAAATAAAGACAAAATTAACAACAATCTGAATAAAAACGTATATTTACTAAAGGTACCTATTTTAGTTTGAATTTTGCATAATATGCATTTTATTAATTATCATGTACAACGCACTTGAGGTTGGTGCGTAACACGAATCAAACTGTCACGACAGTCTTACTCTTATCACGTTTGCATTCAGTCAGTCGTTTCTCCGTTCTGAATTCATAGACAATCTCATCGGGTGAATTATCAGAATGCTGCAGTATGAAGTCTCTTACATTATCATTTCAACGTCATTAGAAAATTTTAGACACTTTAAAAATTATCTCTCTAAATTCAGGAATTAAGCTGAGGGTATTATAATTCCTATCTCATTAGGTAAAAATCTAGTCAGCCACATCCCATAAGAATCGTTTAATTCCCTAACGCATCACAGATTCATTTATAATCACTTTCCGTTTATTCCATAACACTACGATGTTTTCGCTTCGAGCTACCAAGGGGTTGCCGTCTTAGACATTAAAATGAAAACACTATCTACTTAATGTTGCCTTTACAAGGGCTGCTTACTGCTTGACTTTATATCGACTAAGCCGATGTTTACTATTCTAGTTTTAGTTTTTGCATCTGACATGATCTTTCGAACCCACTTTCCACTTCATTGCCACTTACTTCATTTGTAAGTATGACTTTATATGGTTTAAATTAATAAAAAGGAATAGAACTTATATTTAGAATGCTGGTAGGTTTTATTTTATGATCTTCGTCACCTTTGCCTCAGTGTTCCGGAAACCCAGAAACCCACAAACCTGGACTGAATCCGATAAAACCTGATGAATAGCAGTTCTTAATATAAGTCGTATCTTTAATTTGCTTGTTGCGACTTCCACTCATAATTGTCGCCATTCGAAACACTATCTATAGAGTTAATATAAAACATTTACATAAAATTATATGTCCAGATATCTATGCAACTGTATCGTTTTAGGTATGAACGATTACCAGTTCCCTAGAGACTCCAGCTCCACCTAACTACGCTCTATTATATAAGTATAATTCAAGAAATTGCCAGTCTTATTCTGCTACACATGTATAGTCTTACATAGATTGAGTTTCAAAAATCTTATTACTTAGTACTGCACGCCTAACACCTATTTCTATTTAATATGACACAATCAGAAATTTTAAATTCAATAACGAGTACAGATGTGTGCAACTAGTAACGTAAGATATAATGCAGCTAGACAGCCAAAACAAACATTTTTCATCCAAATAGAAATTTTTCTTAAAGAAATAATTATTGAAACAACATTATTAAAAAATAAATTCACAAAACACTCACACCCAATAAAAGTTATAACAAAAGCAACCATCAAACTTAGGCAACTATTAAACTCGATCTGAAATGTTAACGCATCCCATCCAGAATGAACTGTCGACACAAATCTTTGACTATCTTTCTGTTTGTATTACCTAACTGAGAAATAAATGTTAACAGTTTTTCGTTAATATATCAGTAACTGTTCAATTAAATTCAAATATTAGACGCGGACACAATCCATTCGACAGTTCATTTCAAGTGCAGTCGACCGTGATTTTTTTTACCATTATATAATTACATAACACGTTGCGCAAATCGTACTCACACGTTACACACAAGTATATTTACATCAGAGCGGAGTTGAATATGCCGGATAGAAGACTCGGCTAGTGCTAGTTTAGATGCCTGGACATATAAAGCCAAGGTACGGCCAAAGAAACGAGATAAATAATATGTGCACGCTTACCTTCAGGGAGTTGCTTTACAATTGCGTGCTACCCTATATTGTTGTCCTTTTCTCAATCACGTAATTACGTTAGATGGATAACTGTTGATGCTTAGATTAATAGTACTTAGACCGCAATTTTGAAATAAACAAATTTTGTATTACGTGTTGTTTTCTTTCTCTTGTCATGTTTGGTGTGTTGTTATAAATTCGATATTATTAGATTGTGTTGATGAACTTTGCGCTCTTCGACATCATGATTGGCGATAAACGAATCATCCACATTTACTTTGATGAACTAGTTTTTAGTTTGTAAACATTTCGATTTTAATAGTAAATTTTTATCTCGTTTGGTTGGCTGTGATAGTGAAAGAGTTGCCTTAAATATCGGAGGGAGAAGCTAGGTCGAGTCTTGAACGTCTGCGATCCTTTGAGACGGAGAGCTGGCCTGAATTTGATCTTTGTAGAGAGGAGGATCGTGATTCTGACTTCGATTTCTTCACTTTGCTGCCACCCGTGGCAGGTTGTTTGCCTTTCAACGATGATACTGACACCACCACGTCTGTTGATACGCCATCTTGTTCTGATGGCGAGAGTTTGGTATTGTCAATTTGGTTTAAGCTTAATAAATATTTGTAAAGGTGGTAAGATCATCTGGATCTTACGTACTCGTTCGAATTTCAGTCGGAGTCAACATTTGTGAAAATATTCAATAGTTATTGGTGCTGCGGCGAAGCCTACCTCCGATCTTAGAATAAACGTTATATAGAGCGCCTGTAAGTTGGGATGAGACCGGTGTCTGTTTGTGCATCTGATATCACCACGTACAATGTAAAAGTTCCCAACAGAATCTGGACATCACCTGTTGTAGGGACGATTTATCTAAAGGCGTCAGCTGCTGAAGACCAGATGTATAATATATGTAGGTATTAGAGCCATTCTACAGTTGTATTATGGTTGTTGTACGAATGAGTCGGCTCGGCCGGGGTAGGACAGAAAATAAACAGACACACACACACACACACACACACATAATATCAGCGTAAAATAGTAGCCCTCAATGCTGCTGTGTTTCGTATGGTGAGTGTAGAGAAACCAAGATGCTTTTTATTGGATACGAGCCATTCAATTTTAGTCTTCAGAGGTGACAACGCTTTTGTATTTTGATTCTTATTAGAGGATAGATGTAGATATCTATGGGACACAGTAAGCACTTACCATCAGAAGGGATTGCGTGCTCGCTTGTAACCATTATTATATATTAAAAAATATGTGACCTTGACGCTGCTGCCTATCGCCTGTCTGAGTATTTACGCGTGACATAAAGTGATTATACCCATATCTATCAGGAGCTATAAAACCTTACTGGTGTTTTCTATAGTCGCCATTGACGGTGCCAACGAGATACAATGAAGTAATAGATTCTTACGCTGCAACCACGGCTTTTCTCCAATAACTGCTTTGGACGACTCCGTAGCGCAGTGGCTTAGTAATGAGTTGCGGCGCTAAGAGCCGCGGGCTCGAATCCCGTACGGAACAAGTACTTGTATAGCCTTCAGATTATTTATGTATGTAAATTGCCTTGTATCATACAAGGACAAAATCCTAATGAGGGAGTAAAAAATTAAAAAGACATTAAAAAAAACTTCATTGATGTTAGAATAGGAGTACGTATAAATAAGTTTAGTTAAGTACAGAACTTACCCGTGCGTTTGATGACTTCGCCCGCGTTGTTCAAAAAGAATTTCGGTTTTGTTTCCTTGAGCGATTCCTGCTAACAAGTATCATTCATTAAAATTCCCTGAACGCTTTGCACAAAAAGGGACAGAATTAGTTAACGTCTATACTTTGATACAGGAAGATCAATTACAACAATAGTGGCAGTTGAATAGAATGAAGTATTAATAAATTTTTATTGGAACGAAGTTCCTTATCGGATGGTATGAATTTGGCGGATGGGGACTAGGCGAGAGAAAGTGTAAGATTTTTCCGTCAAGACCCCTTCTGACGTTGTGTAGACGGCCTTGGCAGCGATAAGGAAGTGAGATGGAATAATATCCATCTCCCTCGGACTTTTTATTATCTTGCCATGAAAGAAATATTATTTTAAATGACGCTTCATTTTAATAGACGCTAATAATTCGTTTATTTGTATTTGTTAATCAATTATATAATACGTTAATCAAAGGAAAAGAAAGAAGAAAGGAACTTCGTTCCACGATACTCACGCATGTTTTTTTAGATATCACTTTTTTTCGTATATTTCGAAAAAAAAATTATGAGTAGTAAAAACTTACTTATATAAATTACATACAATATACTTAATTGTTAATGCAACCTGATTATTATTTCAAATACTAATTGCGAGTAGATACTACATTTAACAAAATGTTGTTTACATTTAAAATTTATGCAATATTTTTTTTTTATAAACGACATTTTTTTCTTAAATTGTCATTTGATTATGAACCATGTTTAAAACTTCAAGTCGCTAGTTCTTCGGGAAGCAAGTTTAAAATAAATTACTGTATTGGACCCGAACAGACATACAAGAAAGCGTATTAGTAAAAACGAGGTAATATTACATCGAAACTGAAATAAGCCATAATCATTGAATAACGATCCAAACTTCAAACGTCAAATAATTCAAAAAAAAAGGTTTTTTGTGAGTCCGGGACCTTATCAGGAAAAAATAATACCAAATAATATGTAATAAAGATCAATAACGATGCTTAAAAAATATATGTGACGAAAGTAAAGATTGTAAGAACCTCCGAAGGCGGTGGAGTTTAGCCGAAATGAGAATTTTAATTTTTTTGGTTGATGGCCAATTTGACCCCTACTACACTCCTATGAGAACTGTTTGCCCCTATTCAACCGTGACCCCCATAACATCTTCTATGTGATAGGCTATTCAAACTGACTATGCCTAAAGTTCGAGCCACCCCCCGATTTTTTGGTTTTTGACCATTTTGACCCCCTAGGAGTGCAATCAGAACTTTTTGCCCCTATTGCACCATGATATCCTCTACATTATAGACTAATCAAACTGACTAGGCCTAAATTTCGAGCCACCCCTCAATTTTTTGGTTTTTGGTAATTTTGACCCCTAAAAGTGTAATGAGAACTTTTGACCCCTATTCAACCATGACCCCCATGACATCCTCTACATGATAGGCTATTCTACCTGACTAGACCTAAAGTTCGAGGCACCCCCCAACTCATTTCTAATCTTTGCTTCCAACGATACCTCTTATGTTAAAGTCCATCTAGCCGTTTGGGCTACACAGAGCATGCCACAGAAATAGACACATATATATATATATATATATATATATATATATATATATATATATATATATATATATACTCGAAAACATTACCCTCCTTCTAGGACAGTCGGGTAAAAATTATAAAAAGACAAAGAAATTGTAGTGAAATTATTTTTTTTTCAGTTCATCTCACTAAAAAAATGTATTTTAAAATAATATATAAAAAGAAATCATTGTATAATTTAAAATTCGTAAAATAGTTCAAGTAATTTAACAAAGCATTCGAAATTCTATAATTCGAAAATTAAAAAAGTGTTAATTGTAAAAACATGACTGACCTTTGATTTACTAGATTTGGAAGCAGAGTCAGTGCTTCCGCGCCACCACGGTCACTGAATCTCACAAAACGCACGGCCGGGCTCCTTGCCGGGTGTGGAGACTTCGCCCTCAACTGCCGCCTCGCCTTCGGGCTTCGGTGAACCGCTTCCAGAAGCCGTACCGCCCCTGTTGATCAAATTCAAATGTGATGTCGTTAAAAAAATGACCAAACAATTTTTATGTGGGAGTATAAATTTTATTGCAATTCGATCAACTTGCACTATCGACTTCTCGTTTGACGACAATTTTTGGAAATTGTCACTAGAAAAATTGAATGTTAACTAAAAACCTCTATGTATCCCACTAGACGGGCACTACGGTACTAATATATTGCGCACTAAGTTACGGTCAATTCTCCGTAACTCCTTCAGTCGACTGCGAGCGGCGAGAAGACTAGTTCTTTCTTTTGTAAGCCGAAAACCTTGTTTTCGTCAATTAAAACTCATTTTGATTAATGTAACTAAGAAAACACTGCCATTATTTACGTGCGCACTTTGTCAAAGTTAGATTACGATTAGAAGTTTATTTTAAATAAGTATTGTATCTACATAACTTGATTTCGTTTTTGCCTAAAAACAGTAACTGTTGTGAATGAAAATATAACTTTAACGTGTCAAAGTACCCGTCCAGTTGGCGCCCGCCCGCGAGCTCTCGCGATTTATAGTTGTGACAAAGATTTTCTTTTGAATTGCCGGTCCAGTAGTGCATATACAAGTAATTGTGTAACACAAACAACACAAAAATATTTGATAATTTTTAAGCAAAAAGGCAGATGTATAATGAAATTGACTAGAGCCGAAATCGTTTGTTATTCTTAAAGAAATGAGACGAAATTGTTGCAGACTATACATGCACCCATATACACGGACATTTAAACAAATCCTTTAGTCTCTTAACTCTAACGTGCTTAAAACACGTAATTAGACTTCCAAAATTATATAACATATCAAATGGAAAGTAAGCGATACAAATTTTTCGACATACGTAAAAGCAAAGTTACTGATATGAAGACTGTTTATAACTAAAAGATTTATCAACTGTTCACAGGTTTTAGCGTGAAACGAGTGATAAAAGGTCTTTTGTATACAATCTGCATACACTTCGGCACAATAACCCTGTTCTGCTATGTGTGCTGATGGCCTCCAATGAGGATGGCCGCCGTAAAAAAAATATTTGTATGGCCTACAGATTACAATAGTACAATTGCTCCGGGACTGGATGTATGTCCTTGTGCATTTTATTTATGAACACTGCACGCACGATACAGGAGAAATTCTAGTATGGGAGTAACGGTTTATAAAAAAAAAGAAAAACGTTCAAAAAAGAAGTCGTCACAACTAGTTATAGCATGCGTCAAAGTAAAACACGTGTGAAAATAATACAAATGGACACTTACGTCATGTCGAGGCGGACAGTGTTGTTATTCTGCTGGTTGCGCATAGCAAGCGTTGATACCATGGGCGGCCGCTGGGGCTTGTTGGCGAGTAAACGCTCGATCTCTGTCATCGCTGATGGCGTCAGCTGAGGCACTATCTGTACACACAAACCTAGTGTCAGTGTCCACGTAAGCTTCAGTAAATATTCGACAATTATAAATATAAAAATGCCTTAAATATCATGACGGCATCTGCAGCTATATTATGGTTGTAGCACGAACGGGCCGTCTCGACCGGGGAATGGCCACGTTCTCACAGAATATCATCGAGAAACAGCAGCTTGTTTCAGCAATGTTTCAGTGTTCATATTGAAAAAGTAGAGAACCGGAGAACCTTGTAATGATAACGAGACATTCCATCTTAGTTCCTCAAGAGTGACAACGCATCTGCATTTTATTGGACCGAAACACGCACTCACCATCAGATGGCACACAGTCGATATGATGGTGGGTGCTTTATTCTATATGTCCTATGATGCCCTTATCCTATAAAAAAATGTCTGTTCCAGCAGATAACGATCACAATTAAATATTATACAAATAATAATTTAAATTATTTTCGTACTGCCAAGAAAAATTCTCGAGTAAATTTCGCTTGCCGGTACTATAATTCCACTCGAGAGCTTCATCGTTCGTCACGCGTAAAGCAAAGGAGCGGAATAATTTGCCAGCACCTGTCTAGAAGGCAATAGTGAAAATGCAAGCGCTGGCTTAGATTAATAAAAAAAAACTTTCATCCCCATCAGTAGTCGGCTCTTTGAGCTATACGACTGGCCCATTGCCACTTCAGCTTACTAATCCGTTGTGCCATGTCGGTTATTCTGGCTCTACTGTGGATATCCTCATTACACAGGACAGCCTTCTCCATAACCTGTTCTTGAAACCTAAATCCAGCACTAGTATATAAAAGATCGTTAAAGTGAAAAATGTGTATATAGATAACAATGATCCCCCCGTGACAATGGGTACTGTAATGTACTCGAAACTTCGGGAGTATAAAATTTTTTTTATAGGATATGGTGACAAACGAGCACACAGTCTACCTGATGGTAAGTGGTTACTGTGACCCATAGACATCTACATCTATCCTCAATAAAGACTCAAGATGCAGTTGCGTTGTCGCCCGTGAGGACTAAAATGGAATGTCTCTTTGGCAGTAAAAAGGGCTCCGGTTCTCTACACTCACCATACGAAACACAGCAGCGTTAAGCTGCTATTTTACGCTGGTATTCTGTGAGAGCGTGGTCCTTCCCCGGTCGAGCCGACCCATTCGTGCTACAACTATACTACTAATATAGCTGCAGTACGGCTCTACCACGTAAATGTAAATATATAAAATAAGTTAAGATAAGTTAATATACGCAAAAAAATCCGTAGTAACTAGTTTTTTTTTCAAATGATAATTACCTGTAACGCGTGTATGTTCTCTTTAAATTGCTCGACGCTGGTGGCGCCTAACAGGAGACAGTTCACCGACTCGTTTTTGAGACACCATGCCACTGCTAATTGACTCATCGAACAATCTGGTTAAAAAGAAAAAAATAGCCTATTATTCTTTTTTGGCCGCTGTGATAAATTTCAAACTAAACCGGTAGGTGGCGCTATTGTCGAGATCCAGAAATCACTCGAAGCCAGGGTGAATCTCTAGTATTATTTACAGTTTGAGTGGATAATAGAGTTGTGTCACTGTGCTTGGATAAACAAGGAACTTACTCATGCTATCAGCCAGGTTACAAAGGTCCCTTAGCTTGTCTCCGTAGGTGCGTGGCTCCTCGCCGTTCACTTGCTCCTTACTGCCCGAGATGCGTAACTGTTAAACAAATTATAACATGTATATAATGCAAAGTCGCACAAATTAAACATTTTCTTAACAAATGATTTATTTTTTATTTTTTACCATATTCTTGCATTGACATCCGAATTGGAGCTATATTAAAAATTTCAAGTTTCTAACTCATCGAGTTCGTTTAAAATCAGACAGACAGACAAACAAGAAAGTGACTTGTTTGTCTGTCTTAGAAAGTGACTGAAACGTGGTGATAACATATAAACAAGTTATTTTTTAAAGTTTGTACTAAAGCGTAAAAGCCGATGTTAATGTAAAAAGTATTTTAAAAATCCATTCGATTAACAACTAAATTAAGTACTTCATGTATATGTGTATATTTTTTACTATTTGAAGAAGTATCAATTTTCAAGCGTCCTTAATAACATCGCCTAACGAGATTTAATGGAATCGGATGTCATTTTACTAACATATAAACATTAAATCGTCTAAAATTGCGTATTATTAATTAGTTAAGAAATATTAATTACTTCGGGGACAGCGAGGTCTTCCTCGCACCAGCTGAATGTGCTGTATTTCCTGTTGAAGCGTGACTTGGCGAATAGGCCGGTGATCTCCTCGCGGCCGAGACCTTTGCCTGTTGTGATAGCGGACCACCCCATCATGCCTGTGAAACGTAACCAGTAATACACAATGGGTTCATTAAAAATTGGTATTCAAATATGAATTAGTAAGCTGAAGTAGCAATTAGACGGTCTTGTAGATCGAAGTACCGACAATCGATGGGGAAGAAAGGTTCTCGAGTGGCAGCTTCAGCGGAGTGACAATTTGGTAAGACATGCAGGAAGTCGATGGATGCAGGTGGCTCAGGACCGTGCTTTGTGCCCTTCCTTGAGGGACTTGTGAAAGACTGTAATGGTGATGATGATGATGATTCAAATGTCTAAGTATATTAACAAGTAGCAGCGCGTGCACTGTTGTGTTCCAGTCTGTGATTACAGAGAGCCAGTGTAATTACATACTGTGAGGCGTTCTACCTTGGTCCTCAGAGGTGACAACGCATCTGCAGCCTTCTTTTTCTTACGTTGGCTCCAGGTGTCCATGGACTGCAGTAGCCATTTACCATTAGGTGGACAAAAAAGGGACATTTTGATCTAGATCTACTGCTGTTGCAGATTTTCATGGCCGTCGGTGATCACTTATCATCACGTGAACCGTATGCTCGTTTGCATTAAAAAAAACGTTAAAATTTTTGTAGGTAGACTTACCGACACCTATCTTGTGGTATAGCTCAGGCATGTACAGCTCGGGTTTCTCTCTGCAGAACATATGGTATTCAGTCTGCTCAACTATCGGCGTGATGCAATTGAACTGTCGGCAGTTTGTGTACGCGTCCATAATCTGAAATGATTAATCTAATTGGTTTTAATATTTATAAATGGTGATCTGGCAGTCAAGAATCATTGATGTATATCTAATTAATCATTAAAATTAGTTAATTTTTAAATTATGTAATTAATTAAATTAAATCAAAGGAATTTAAATAATTGTTCACGATGTATACATCTAAATTTTGCAACAATCCATTATTAATTAATTTAATTAAGTATACATTATAAATTTAATTAATTAATTAAATTAGATAAAATTACAGTAAATGTTCGCTACATTTAGTCATTCGCGCATTTAGTCAACATAGTAAGATAGTGATTGAAAATGATATCGCTTTTGCAAACACTGAGTATAACGCGTCAGAATATTATCAAATATGTCGCAAGACAGCAGTATAAATATCAACCTTAATTATAACGGAATATGGCATTAAATCACACAGCACGGTGTCGCAGAATGTATTACCTCAGATGGTGACCAGCGTGCCGTGCCCCAGTACATCACCCATCCCTGATTAATCACGAAGTTCATGGCTCGAACTAGCTCTGTAGATAACGGGAAAATATTTATTAAAGAAAACAAAAACCTACTACACTGATCTATTACTAGTAATAATAATTATGTGGTTAATCCGACACGATCACACGACCGAAGAGAAATCAGGCGCAGACTAAAGGCCTTACGTGCTTTCCGAGGCACGGGGCTGAAACACCGCCAAGTTCTTGAGATTCTACTGAGAATTTCCCGACAGAAAAACTAGTAACTAATTTTGGCCCGACCCGGGATTCGAACTCGGGACCTCATGATGAGCAATCGCATTTACGACCGTTAGATATCTATTATTGACTAACTCACAACAAAAATGTATTGTTTTTTTACGAACGTCGCATTGGTGTTTCTATCTTCTACTTCGTCCTCTTCTTTATCAGTCTGTATAAGTGTACGATTAAGTTACAATTTGCCTTAACTCTCACGGTTGGTACAGGTTGACAGTCACAGTGCCAGATCAGCAGGCCTATTCGCCAATTTTGTGAACATTAAAATGACAATCACTTTATAGTATATTGAGTCGTATTTTTATGAGCTGTGGTATTTCATAAGACATACAACGCAATGTACAACAAAGTTATTGTAATGTTAATGTCAGCAAAGCTAACGAGGGGGTTTTGGCGGGAAGTTGTCCACCGGTGGATTATTATACCGTTTTAATAAGGCTTGAAGTGGATCAGGATACATCAAAGTGGTGCGATTTATTATATTAAATGTCCACACACGTGAAATATCAGTGGGAACGATGAAACAAGTGCTTCGAAGGTGATGTAATTTTAGATAACTGTGTCTGCTTTGGCGCTATAAGTACTGTCGTCATCGACTATTTGCTGATTCAGGCACTCTGCAGAATCTTCCAAATACTTCGCAATGTGACGGTTCGATGTATTGTGAAGAACTTTTGAAACAAATTAAAATAAATGGTAATTTCTTATTACTTGACACTGGCAAAAGTACAACAGTACGAGGCATTATCAAAGAAAAAAAAAACTAATGAATAGGCCTGCTGAGCACCTTTAACGCTGCTGTCTGTCGCCGATCCGGATACTATGACTGTGTAACTGGATTTATGTAATTCTTACACAGTCACTACACGGTCAACAAACCTGAATACAATATATTCGAAAAAATTGTATGTAAAGTTGTGAAGTTGTAATCAAAATACGGAACGATTTTGAGTTCGTTTTAAAAACAGAGGGGCTAGAAACCAACCCACCTTCCATAGGGCAGACAGGGTCCACTTTGTGCAACAATACCACGTCTATATATTCAACCTGGAGACGGGCCAGCGACGCCTTGACACTCTCGATAATGTGCTTCCGAGAGAGGCCACGCTCATCCGATCTGAAGTATGAACAAAGTATGAGAAGGGTGCCGAGTTTTTGAGAGTTAAACTAGCAACAAGCAATAAAACGATAAGCGTTGGGAAATACTCGCAGCAAAAGTGTCAACATATAATGGTACCTGAATAAAATGGAGTTATCTCTATCTATGTTTATGTTTCTTGTAAAACGTTTGTAATGTTCATAATTTTGTGTGTGCTATTTAAGGCAAGGAGTTTAGGTACGATATCTTAATTCATTCTCAATTTAAATTTGATCATGGTAAATAAAAGATCGAGGACTAAGCTTTAACGATGCTGATAAAATCACTCGATTAATCTATGCATTCGAATAACAGTCAATGCAATGTTGCATAAAATAAAAATATCAAGAAATATGAAACATAATCTCCATCTCTAAGAATTATTATTTTCTCACCATCAGCAAGCGCGTAACGTAGAAGAAAGAAGATAAATACATATATAAAGTTGTTTTAATAGTCGTTTTATTATTATTTAGTAATAATTCGGTTATTTTATTATTTAACTTTTTCTTATTATTTGTATATTACTATTACTAATCAGTATTTCGATATAAAATTGGAATGAGTCCGACCATAGAAATCATTCACAATCTCGAATCGCGTCTAAATTTTTGTTTTCGTCTTTAATCTTATTAGACAACAGACACCTTATTTTAGCATAGTGTTTACCTTTGCTGCGAGTTTTAGTGTAAGGTATGGAAAAGCTATTGTAAGAAGCAAAATGAAAGCGTGATCTAGCTTTGTTACCGACCGAGTCGGTTTTGACCTGCGTGAGCTACGGAAATGGAATGAATCAATTAATATCATTGCTAATGAAATGGTACAAATAAAAATATCATTAGTTATATTTGTTAAACGTATATATATATATAAGAAGGAGCCAAATTCGTTTAATGACATTATTCCTTGCATTTCTAAGACCCTTTTCAAACTGGCATCTGGCATTAACGAACAAATTGCATGTAAGAAAGAAAGAATAAAAATATTTATTTGGCTACATAATCAGAACGCCATATTGTACATAATATTTTCCATTTAAAACGTTTTTAATAACAAGCTGTAAAACCTTATTTCACCCCTTTACGGATAGAATTATTCAGAATCCTTCCAATCTTCTTAGTGGGTGTCTTCGTCGAGAAAGGAGTATATATACCAAATTTGGAGCCGATCGGGCGTATAATTTCGGTGATCTCAAAATGAGTGGGTGAGTCAGTGGTGTTTAATTTATATCACAGACAACTAGCTTAATTTTTTTTTTTTAGTTTTTAAAAAAAACGTTACCTCCACACTAGGATTTTCTCTTGTATCTTGGGGGCAGTTTACATACATAAATTTCACCGGAACAATTACTTATAGGCCACACAAATACTTGTTCCGTGCGGGATTCAAACCCGCGGCCCTTAGCGCTACAACTCACTGCTTAGCCACTGCGCCACGGATCCGTCGATAGTTCTAATTATCCGTTCAATTAACAGCCTATCCTTTTTACAAAGCGACGCCGTTCCACTAACGGCCTGAATGATATACAGCCGATGAGTCTACAACATTACCTATCTTGTAATACCAGCGACAGTAGGTTATGGTGCGGCTGGGTTCTTTGGCCACCCTAAAGCCGCGTACATTTATATAATATAGCACATAGCGCTATTTAGGCACAGGCCAGCGACCGTCACGTTGAATGAAATTAATAGGTGATCATGCCATATAAAGTCTAGGCTGTTAATTAAGGACATGAAGAAAAGGGGCCACACTCGGCATTTGGCGTGGTGAAACACAGCCAGTGATAACACTAATTTAACAAGTCTTCTTCTAATTTGGTTTATAATTAAAATCTCATAGTAGACAATTTCACAATAAAACAAACTTGGAATTTTTTTATAGGATAGGGTGACAAACGAGCACACAGTCCACCTGATGGTAAGTGGTTGCTGTGGCATAGACATCTACATTTATCCTCGTTTGCAAATCAAAATGCAGATGCGTTATCACCCGTGAGGACTAAGATGGAATGCATCTTTTCCAGTAAAAATAGTCTCCGGTTCTCTACACTCACCATACGAAACACAGCTGCTATTTTACGCTGGTATTCTGTGAGAGCGTGGTCCTTCCCCGGTCGAGGAGACCCATTCGTGCTACAACTATACTACTAAAATAGCTGCAGCATGGCTCTACCACGTACATAATTTATGCATAATATCATTTTATTCCTCAAAATTTGATGTTTGATAAAATGTGAACAGAGATTTCAAAAGAAGTATCTAAGACTTTAGAAACTGTTATTATGGAATTTGTTTTATTGTTCTCAAATTTTAAAATATATGTATTTTATTAAATGTACCCATTTCAATAGTCTAAGGAATATGTTTGATGATTTAATAATTTTGGTTGAACATAACTCCTTTTACGGATTTTATCGCATTTAATACTACTTATTTTTAATTCCTGACGTTTCGGGTACTTGGTAGAACCAATGGTCACAGGGGCACTGACGTGATTGATGTCCCGATGTCAATGTTAACCCGGAATACCTTCAGCTTTTTAATTATTACTTCTGGTCCGATCTACGCAGAATGAACTTAGAACTTGAAGTCTTGCAGTGGTATGTTTGGGTTTAGTTTTAATTTTGTTAATTACAGGATCCCAAGCAGGTGGTAGTACTTCACCACCTTCTCTATTGAAATTAGGATGTTTTTTAATTTCAATGGCCTCATGTATCCTCCTTGGCAGGAATCGATTTTGTTTCGCGAGGATTTGTGGTCTATCAAATCTAATGTAATGGCGTGGTCCGTCTAGGAAATGATAACAAACTACAGAATTCCTAACACTATTGGTTATAAAAATATTGGTTTCAAATATTTTCGCAAAAGCTACATGTTAAATCAACTTAATTACATTACGTTGTTATATGTTCATTTTTCACTTTAACAATTGAGTTACCCGGACAGGACGTATAAACCCGTCCTTACAGACTACAATTATACTGGCTTTCTATACCCCTAAATATTATAATTATAAATAAATTAATGTCATAAAATTTTATTTATCATTTTCGAATGTCCTTGAACTCTCTAAATGTACGTTGCCATTTGCTGCTCAAGTGTAAAAAGGGTCCTAATTTATTTGATTAATGATTTATATTGCTTTAAATGATTTATGATTAATTATTTATTAAGCATTGCTAGTCTCTCAATTTTAAATATTATTATTCCAATAAAATTAACTATAAAACATAACAATGCAATGCGAATTAAATTAAATGATAATAAATTTTGAGTTATTGATGAAGTAAAAAAAGTTGAAATATAAAACCTGTGAAAATATATAATAGAGAAGCAAATAATATTTCTGAAATTTAATAATAACCTTAATGTTAACTATTTTTCTCTGTTTTATAAAAGATGTTTCGTTTCGTTTTCGTTTTTTTTTTTAATTTTTGTTAAATAAAATTTTTTTTAAAAAGTTTATAATATTTTATACCAAGTAAGTATAAATTTAGTTTTGATTTTTCTTTTCTTCTGTTCAATATTGATTACATGATGCAATAATATAGTAGTACAGACAAATGAATCATTACTGAAATGTTATAACTATAATTACGTTATACTAAGTTGTAACGATATTGCTATGAAAAAATATTGCATATTTATTTGTAAAACTAACAATTTTTGTATGAACGTGAACATCATGTGTCTTTAAATAAATTTAACTGTTTTTTTTAAATCCTTGTTAAAACTATTTTATTTTATTTAGAATATATTAAGCCTCTTATGAAAATCTAACTAAAACTAAATAAAATTAAAACAAGATCTCAGAGTAAAACCGGCAAATAACTCTGGGATCTTTTCTGGTTTTTTTTTTAATGTTTTAATCCCGTGCACGACTACTAGCACCTGATGTTAAGTGGTGATCCAGCCTGAGATGGTGAAGCGCGCTCATTTAGCTTAATAAAAGCCTTCATATAACTAACACATAGTAATCAGACGGAGAGGCAAATTGTCAGGTCAAAGATGTTCAAAATTAATTATCTAATATCCGTGTAATAAAATAAATATATAAATATAAGCGGATCTTTAATACCTATAATGGATTTCCGCAAAGTAAAGCCTAATTCTATTAATTAAATTGACAGATATCATGTTACAGTGCCATTTACAAAATTTAAAAAATCAATACAGTGTCAATTATAACTTGGACTTTTAAAATGATACTTATATGGTACTCCAATAAAAAATGTTCAGATATTATTTGCTCCTCGCATTAGTTGTGTAGTCTGGAAGTTTAAACAACTGACGGGATACTTACTTGGTGCTCCAGTATATTTTAGTGGTAATTATGATGCTCGTTCTCCTGACGTTTCGCTTCTTGAGAATTCTTCCTAATTCCGCTTCGCCCTTAGCTAAAAAAATAAGTTTAAAAATACCTAAAAAACATGCAAATCTTAATCTACAATAATTCCAATGGTAATACTACGTCATATTTATTAGATTATTGTATTGTCGTTAGTTATTAAAACATCTGCAAAATTTGAAATAGGAACAAAAGAAATCAATTACTTTCATAAATACCGGGTACATACACATAGGTCAAGCTAATAATTGTTTTTTTTTTGTTAAAAACAAGTGTCACTCTTATATAAGGACAGTTAAATTTAAATTAATTATTATTTTATTAATTAATTATTATTTTTAAAACAATCATATTTTTAAGAAAAATAAAAATATAAGTAGGATTGTAGAACTAGTGGTAAGCGCCTGATAGAACATATTAGCAATAAACATGCCTCTATTAGTTTGTAAGTTATAAGTTATAACATTATTTCTTAACAAAAAGCCTTGTTAGCTTGACACTATTTTTTTTATATAATAGGGTGACAAAAGAGCACACAGTCCACCAACTGGTAAATGGTCGCTGTGACCCATAGACATCTAAATCTATCCTAAAGGATTATAATTTGATTTTACTTATATATATATATATATATATATATATATATATATATCAAATTAAAATGCAGATGCGGTGTCGCCCGTGAGGACTAAGATGAAATGCCTCATTTCCAGTAAAACGGGTATCCGGTTCTCTACACTTACCATACGAAACACAGCAGCGATAAGCTGCTATTTTACGCTGGTATTCTGTGAGAGCATGGTCCTTCGCCGGTCGAGCCGACCCATTCGTGCTACAACTATACTACTAATATAGCTGCAGCATGGCTCTACCACGTAAAATACGTTACCTTTATTCTATACCTTCTCTTGTCACCTTTATTCTATAAAAACAAAAATATATTTATAAATATTTCAATTACATTCATAAACGTTTCATACCACAATGTGCTTCTGACAAGTCAAACAAGTTGATGCCGTTCTCAAGAGCTGTCATGACGATGTCTTCGGCGGAGTCTTCGTTGATTATTGTCCACATTCCCAGCCCAATGTTGGGCACGCGGAGGCCAGATTTGCCAAGATTCCTGTAGCGCAGCCCCGGAGTTACTACGGAGGGCATGCTGGTGTGATTTCCCATATAGCTCGACATGTGTCTGGAGACGTTGACTTCTCCCGCTGTTCGAAGGGACACCAATTGTGATAGAAAGAAGAAAGAAAGAAAGAAACATTCATTGCTAACACGCCACACACATAATTAGATAGTTAAATATAATTATTTTAATAACCGCTAGTGTTACTACCTATTGAAGTCCACTGCAGAACATAGACCTCTCCCATAGATTGCCTCATTTGCCATAGTTGCCACGCTTGGCAATCGAGTTGGTAACCGCAGCTTTTTTTAAGTTGTTATAAGGAAGACGCTGCTACCATCTCCTGATTTGTTTCCTTCTGTCGCCTCTTACGACACCCACGGGAGGATATGGGTTAGTGAATATTCCTACAGTGCTCACACGATTATTAATAAAGGTATAATAAAATAAATATACGTAAGGCATTTGAAATACAGGCTTTGATTAACTCAATTTGATTAAAGTTTTCTACCGACTTCAAAAAGGAGACGGTACTCAATTCGACTGTATGTCCTTTTTTTATGAGTGTTACGTCATAACTTTTTTCTGGGTGAACCGATTTCAATTATTCTTTTTTTATTTGAAAGCTGGTGCTTCACATGTAGTCCCATATAAATTTGATCGAGGTCTGACCAGTAGTTTTTGAGTTATTCTTAACTAGCTGTTCCCCGCGACTTCGTCCGCGTGGAGTTATTTTTCGCGGAACTCTAAAATAAAAGCAGCCCAAGTTACTCCTTATAACATCAGGTATCTGCCAGTGTGTATAAATATTGACAAATATTGACATTAATATTTATACGATACTAACGTCACTCAATTGTATTGCCTTCCCGGAACCCGTCCACTAACACTTAAACTTTATGGTATAGTGTTAAAGTTCAAATTGACTTGTAATTATTATTACGTATCGGGAGAAAAGTGTTATTTTTAGACTTTAGAATAGTGTTATTTTTAGACTTTTTAAGACAATTTTTTCAATTTTTCTCTCCGTAAGAACCATCTTCGTACTTCAAGGAATATTATAAAAAAAGAATAGCGAGATCGGTTCAGCTGCTCTCGAGATTTGCGCTTAGCAACACATTCAGCGATTCATTTTTATATTATAGACGACGTTTCATTTTATTAGACGCTAGTAACTCTAATTTATTTGTATTTGTTTTTTTTTACTTATTATAAGCCAGTACTTGACCACCATCCCACCTGGTGGTAAGTGGCGATGTAGCCTTAGATGGTAAATCGCACTGTCTTATCGTAACAAAAGCCTATTCACTCTTGCCTTGAAGACGTCTAGATTGTATTCGGACGGAAAGATGGACGCGGGCAAATTATTCCACTCCTTTGATGTACGCATTACAAAAGACGAAGCAAACCGTTTGGTTCTAATGCGTGGAATATCGACAACATAGGTATGAAGACCCGCCGACCGCCTGGTTGTTCGATGGTGGAAGGGAAAGGGAGGAATTAAAGCGTGTAATTCCTGCGCACACTCACCGAAATGCATCCTATAGAAAACCGAGAGACTGGCTACTCGGCGCCTCTGCTTGAGGCTGACAAGATTTTTTTCAACCAAATCAAGGTCACCGATGAGGCCCTTAGCACGTCTCTTCACAGAGTCCAATGCTGCCAGGTGGCATTTTACAGCACCAGCCCATATGTGACAGGAGTACTCCATGCACAACAGGACTTGCGCTTTATATAAGGTAAGAAGCTGCCCCGGTGTGAAGTACCGCCGCATCCTTGCAAGGACACCAAGTTTCCTTGCGACTGCTTTGGCTCTGGACTTAATGAACCACCCATAGTTTAGGTTTGGAGAAAATTCAATCCCTAACAACTGAAGGCGGTCAGTGTACTCCAAAGATACATTCCGGAAAGTAGGTGCCAACGTGAGCGGGTTCCTTTTAAGCGGGCGGTAAAAAGACACGCTTGTGTTTTAGAGGTGTTAAATCTCATGAGATTGGCATCGTCCTATTCGGAGACTGCCCGTAGTGTGAGACTCACACGCTCAACCATAGCCTCTCTTTTTGACTGGATTTGATCTGGACTGGCCCCCGGGTGTTTAGTACCAGTCTCTCCATGACTGTGCTGTCGTCTGCATACCCATAGATACCGGGAATGAGCAGATCATTTATATGCAGCGGTAAGAGAGTTGCGGAGAGAACGGACCCCTGAGGAACACCGGCGTTAGTCGCCACAGTACCGGATAAGCAGCCATCGACGACGACCCGGAGAGACCATTCACTCAATAAGTCCTTCGCCCAGGCAATCAAGGGATAAGCCATACGCTGAAAGCTTGCCCAATAGACTAGCGTGCCAGACCCTATCAAAGGGCTTCGAAACATCGAGGGAAACAGCAAATGCTTCACCACTGTTCTCGAGGGCTTCGCCCCATATGTGAGTAGTATACGCTAGAAGGTCCCCAGTTGATCGAATTCGGCGAAACCCGTACTGGCAATCACTGAGGAGATCATTTTGCTCTAGGTATGCCATGAGGTGGGCGTTCAATATACGCTCCATAATCTTGTAGAGTATGGAGGTAATTGAAATTGGCCGATAGTTGGCAGGCTCGGTACGACTACCTTTTTACGCACAGGCAGCACATTGGCCAGCTTCCAAGATTTGGGCACTATTCCAGTCCTGAATGAGAGGCGGAACAAGCGTACCAACACAGGAGACTACTCAGGTGCACAAGCCTTTAGAGCTATAGCTGGTATACTCGTACCATCAGGTCCACTAGCTTTGTTCACGTCTAGACTTCGCAAGGTTTTAAGAACCTCCTTGTTGGTGATACGGACCTCTGACATAGAGGTACCGCAGTGAGGTAATTGAGATGGTATGCTGTTGCTACTGTCCAGACGCAATTGCAAGCAAAAAGAGAAACAAATAAGTCCTTTCTCCTTAGGTGCATGCGCCTTAGTCCATAATAAAATACGTTTATCAATAATACACGACAGGAACTTCGTTCCGAGTGTTTATCGACACACACGCATGTTTTTAATTAGCTTGGTATGTATCCATGTAACGGAATATTCGAATGTGATTTTCATACCCTTCAAAACGTCGGATTGATTTGAAACTTCGCACTATTATCAAGGGCCGATTACAATGCAAAATTTTAAATAGTTTGTCCCATTATCCTTGCCAGGATCCTCAGGATTTGCGAATAATTTATAAAACAACTACGATCTTTGCCAGTTCAATCTATTGTAAACCGCGTAAAAAAATTTCGTTACAAATAAAATTTATTACTTTCTACTTTTTAGTTCCGTTATCTAAAAAAGCGTGTTTTTTTGGTTTTTTTTTTAAAAACTATTTATTTATTTATTTTATTAAAATGGGCTTACTCTTGACCTCCATCTGGCCCCAGGACAAAGATGAGATCTACGATGGAGCGAGTATACCCAGAGAAGCCTGTTTACACGCACCTAAAGAGGTTCAAGTCATATTATGCGCTCGGAAAAACAGACGCTGACAGGGTATTCCCCTGTGCACATTATGAAAGATGACTTATAGCGCATGGTGCGAATATTAGGAACATCAACCAAGTGAGGATGGTAACCTGCAGTGCGCCTAGTACTCCGATAGGAGAAGGGAGATGGCGGTATGAGCTTATGAAGCTCATGGGCACACTCTCCGAAGTATAACCAAAACAAACAAGCAGCTTGGCGGCGATGAGCTAAGCTGGGAAGCTTAGTTTCCATCAGCTTTTTGTCACCAATAAGCCTCTTGGCTCTGCGTTGCAATGAGTCGAGTGAAGAGGTCGGCAAGTTGATAATTTGCTGAGCAATCCCCAAGGTGACTGCAATACTCCATGCATGTTCGGACTTGAGCTTTTTTCACCCTGTTTTTTGGCTGCAGTTTGTGCTTTCGACACAATGTCAGCGCCAAAGTTGAGGTTAGCACTCAACTGTATGCCAAGAAGTTCGAGATGATCTGTAACCTCTACAGATGTACCTCGGAAAGTAGGAGTCAAAACAAACGGACTCCGTTTTGCGGGGAACAGACAGGCCTGCATTTTGGTGGTATTGGAAGTGACCAGATTGTCATCACTCCACTGGGAGACGAGACTTAAGGTCGCATTTATCCGCTCCAGCATGACCTCTGAGTGAACGCACTGAACATGAATCTCTTTGTGACTGTGCTGTCATCCAACAATACCTGGTAAAAGTAGGTCATTGTGTGTAGCAGGAAAAGATTTGCAGAGAGAACAGACCCCTGAGGGACTCCGGCATTAATATGCATTAGGTCAGAAGAGCAGCTATTTATGACTACTGTGATCGACCGTTCACTCAGAAAGTAAGATATGCAGTTGCAAAATTTGGCGGGGATACCGCCCTGTCAAAAGCCTTCGAGATATCGAGTGAAACTGCTAGAGTTTCACCGTTCTTCTCGATGGCCTCCCCCAGAAGTGCATGACGTACACATGAAGATCCCCAGTGGACAGTCCCTGACGGAAGCCATATTAAAGGTCACTGAGGAGGTCATTTGTTTCAAGGTATGTTAGCAGCTTACTGTTCAATGTCCTTTCCGTAACTTTAAAGAGTATGGAGATGATGGCGATTGGTTGATCAAGGATCGGCACGACATAGCCACGAGCTAGCCAATGTGCAACCAGTACCCAAGGAGGGTATCCTTGGGTACTGGTTGCACATTGGCTAGCTTCCAAGATTTGGGCACTGATCGAATTCTAAGAGAGAGGTGGTACAGACGCGGTAGAATAGTAGACAACTCAGGCGCATGCTTTAGTACCCTTGCAGGAATACCATCAGGTTCACTGGCCTTATTCACGTCTAAATTTAGCAAAGCCCTACGTACCACTTTCGTATGGATGGTGATTTTCGGCATCGATGAATCACAGCGACGTAAGGTTGGTGTTTGTTTAGAGCAGCATCTATACGAGAATTGCTCGCAAACAGAGATGCAAATAAATTTGCATTCTCAGTCGCGGGGTGAGCCAGTGTTCCAGCAGGTTTCTGCATGGGAGGCAATGAGGGATGGCAGAATTTGGATTCGAAAGCCTTTCGACAGGGACCAAAATTGCTTACTACCAGAAGGGTAGGAAGCAAGTCTGGCCCCTATACGACTGACATGGTCGGATCGTGTCCTGCGGAGAACTCGCTTGCAGGACTTGCCAGCAGAATTCGTTTGTCATTTAAATTTTATGATAAAAGCCTTTTTACCCAACTACTCCAAAAGTAAGGTAATATTTTTGATAGTGTCTATGTATGTAAGTATGGCTATTTATTTGGCACGCTCAGTATCCTAAACGTCTTGACGGATTTTATACATAATATAAGGTTGGGGAAAAATTTTCTTCGTATTTTATATACAAATTCAAGACATTTTTTTTTAAAGTTTAATTACATTTAATTATAATATATGTCATTTTCTTCGATACTTGTTACCTAAAAGGTAGTGACATAATCCTGATGCTGGAGAAATCTTGGGATTTTTGATCAAAATAATGCGTTTTGACAGTCCTCTCTTGATGTTAACCTAACATTACCCAAAAGAATTCTGAAGAGACCGAAACAGCTGAAACTCTGAGGGTGCAAGATCAGGACTTTATGGTGGATGCATTAACACTTCCCAACCAAGCTCTTTTAATTTTTGTTGAGTGGCCAAAGACGTGTGTGCTCGGGCGTTGTCATGATGAAAGACCACTACTTTTCTGTTTATTAAATTCCTGCCGGCATTTTCTCAATTTCTTGCTCGAGTCTAATTAGTTGTTGGCAGTAGAGATCCGAATCGATGGTTTTGTCCGCCGGTAAAAGTTCATAATGGACGATGCCCTTCTAATCCCACCATACACACAGCATCACCATATTGTATTAATTCGGGTTTCGCTATAGTCTGTGGAGCTTGACTACCCTTTGACCATGATCTTTTTCGCACGTTCTTGTCGTATATGATCCACTTTTTCAGCAGTGATCAATATTTTCAAAAATTTTTCGGTTTCATTACGTTTCAATAGAGTTCACGATTCATTAGGTATCTTTCAGTGAGCTCGTGTGGTACCCAATCATCGAGCTAATAGGTCAATCCTCAATTCCTTGGCTATTACTAATATGCCGATCGTGCTCCACTTTTTCAAAAATTGCATGGACTTTATCGGTATGAGGCGGCCTGAGCGAGTTGCATCTTTGACATCAAAATCGATTGAAAACGCTTGAACCAACTTTGTGTTATTTTTTTTAATAACTGTATTTACGGCTCTGGGTTCTAGCCCTTCTGAGCCTGAAGTTACAATTTATCCTTCGTAGTACACTGCTTCACAATATGTTGATGCGTCACATTATACAGCCCTTGGGAGATTTTGACGGCAAATTGATTCAGCAGACCGCTGATAGTTGGTGATGGTAACTCAAGGCGCCTAAGCAGACAGACACCTTATCTTGAGAATCACATCACCATCAGAGCTCTTGTTTCAACGTTTTCACTAATAGATCAGACTGGCAGACATTTAATACACAAAATCGCACCACTTTTACATATCACAATCTACTTCAAACCATTATTTAAACAATAATACAGGAGCAGCAATCCATCGCCGGTCAAGTTCCCGCCAAAACTCAACTTTGTGTTACTCTTACTAATACCACAGATTACTTAATAGTTTACAAAACTAATACTGCAATAGGTCCATAAGTGTCACAATTTTTACGCGTTTTTACGATTCACTCATTTTGGCGGACTGAACAACGATTGAAAAAAGGCGGGAAAGTGTTTTTTACTTTTTGTTTTTCTTAATGTTCTATATGTATTGATATTAAAACCAGCCAGATACAAACAAAGAGATTTTTCTTCAATTTTATACAGAAAAAATAAGAAAAATTTTTTCCCCGACCTTTAACTTTATCGTAAAAAATTATGACCTTTTTAACCGTATTTTATCAAAAAAATATCTTTTAAATTTTATTATTTTTCGAATGCCGAACCATTCCTTGAGTATCGTAAACAGCAGTTTTTGAATGACTATAGTCAGATCGTCATAGCTACAGTTGAGAACCGACAAACGATGGGTAAGAAACGTTCTCGAGTGGTAGGCTCGTACCGATAAACGAAGTGTAGGGCGGCCCCCCCCTAGATGGAGTGACGATCTGGTGAGAGATGCAGGAAGTCGATGGAACAGGTGGCTCAGGACCTTGGTTTGTGACATTCTTTGTTCAGGTTCTTTGTTCAGCAGTGGACTTGTAAAGGACTGTAATGGTGATGGTGAAATATCATGCGCTTACCTTGATCCAACATTTGCTGTGAGTTGGCACTAAAATCGTCCATACAATCAAGCGACGCTATTGGGGCGCGGCATCTGCGTGACAAGCAAACAATTGATTATTACATAACACTTATTTAAAGTATTTTTTTTATTAACCACAGGTTAGGAAAATATCTCTGTCCTAGGAAGAACCAGCAAGAACCCCAGCAGGGTTTTTATTAATCATATTTCACTTTATAATCATTTTGTATAATTTCTTAAAATGAATTTTAATAGAACCAGCATGGTGGTCATCACCTCATTCCCAGAGTTTACTTTCATTCATGTATTCCTTGATATTATAATAACCCTTTCTGTACAATTTTTCTTTAATAAAACATTTAAACTTGTTTATTGAAAAACTTTGAACATGTTTTGGATTTTGTTGTGAAAACGTAGGTATACATTGCCCCATAAATGAGTTACTAATTCTGTGGAGTCTAGTAACTGGTATTACAAGCTTATATTTGTTCCTAGTGTTTAAAGTTTGAACATATTTATTCTTATTAAAGCTATTTATGTTTTTATGTACATACATTATATTTTCGTAAATATATTGCGATGCCAAAATTAATATGAACAGACTGACGGGTTTCTTAAATATTTCTAATTTATTTAGTTCATTATCCTTTTATTACCTTCAACTAGGGGTTACAAAGGGCGGACTTAATGCCTTATGGCAAATAAAGTTTCAAAAAAGATGAAGTAGATAAAGTTTGTTGATATATTCAAATTAAGAACAATAAACTTAAATTAAGTGGTAAAATTAAAAATTTTGTACAACCATCTTCAATATATATTATTAAGGATAACTCAAGAACTACTGGTCCGACCATGACCAAATTTATTTGGGACCATATGAGAATCGCCAGCTTTCAAATAAAAAAAGAATCATCAAAGTCGGTTCACTTGAAGAACTTATTAACGTCGATTAAAACTAGTTTAACTTATCTCCTATTCTACTTTAATACATTGTATAAAATATGATACATATAAATACAATAAACATAAATATACAATTATACATAATACAATTTACATCCAATTTGCCAACTATTAACTTCAATTTTAATATTTTGTAATATTTATTTATCATTTACAAGTTGAATACTAAGTACAAGTAAAATAGCATATATAAATCACAAAGTTTTGTAAACAATGCTATCATCTACATCTATATTTCAAGGGTTTAATAAAGAAATGAAAATGTAATATTACACTATGTTGCAAATGGTTTTAAAATCGAGCCAAATTTATAATTTTGATATCTTAGGTAATTAAATAACTGCTGATTGGTAACTTCATTCCTAAGTGTCAAGATCGCTGCCAAGTAGGAAGTAATATTTAAATTTTGTCTCAATATTTTCTCTTTCTCAATATTTCTCTACATTAAAACCGCTCTATTCTACGAGTATATCATAACTAAATTATATTTTTTGGCAATTGAATAATTTCCAAACGAATTTATTATTGTTGGATTCATTCCCGGACTAGATTGGATTATATGATGAAATTACAGACGATAATACTATATATATGTACATATTTTAAAACATAAGTAAAAAATTATATACAAGTTCGCGGACACAGGTAGTTTCTAAATAAAATTATTATTTCTATTTTTAATTATAAGGTTTTACTTAAAAAAAAACAGTTACAGATATTGTTACTTTTTGTTCAAGCGCGTTGCTTTAATTCTTAAATAAATTTATAAAAATAAAGTTTCGGCTCCGCAATACTATAGACATATTGTGACGTTCTATATAACACCTGTCTAAGTAACGCTGTTTGTTAAGTTAACGCTGCTTCTTCTGCATATCAATGATATGTTGCTAATTGGTAACATTCATTGCTATGCGGATGACAGCACTGGTGATGCTCTATACACCGGCCGTGCCAATATTTCTCGGGAAAACGTCGCTGAGTACCGGAACAAACTTGTGTCTGAAGTCGAGTCTTTGCTGAACAAAGTCTCGGATTGGGGGCGACTAAATCTAGTCCAGTCTAATCCTCAGAAGACACAAGTTTGCGCGTTTACCGCTAAAAAGAACCCCTTTGTCGTATCTCCTCAGTTTCAAGGCACTCCCCTTCATGCCTCAGCCAGTATCGGTATCCTCGGAGTCGACATATCGAGTGACGTGCAGTTTCGTGGTCACTTGGAAGAGAAGGCCAAATTGGCCTCTAAAAAGCTTGGCGTGCTCAGCAGAGCGGGACAGTATTTCATGCCAGCACACCGCCTGCAACCTTACAAGGCGCAGGTTCGGCCTCACATGGAATACTGTTCCCATCTCTGGGCAGGGGCTCCCCAGTGCCAGCTCCTTCCACTTGACCGCATCCAGCGTAGAGCGGCTCGAATCATCGACGGCAGAGTCCTTTCCGATCGGCTCGATTCATTGGCACTGCGAAGAGATGTTGCATTCCTTTGCATTTTCTTTCGCATCTACCATGGGGAGTGCTCTGAGAAATTGTTCGGATTAATCCCAGCCGCCAAATTTCACGAACGCACATCGCGGCAGAACTCCCGATACCATCCACACCATCTGGATGATTGGCGGTCCACCACCGTGCGATTTCGAAGATATTTTCTTCCTCGCACGACTTCCTTGTGGAATCGATTACCATCAGCGATTTTTCCGGACCGATACGACTTAGGGACCTTCAAGAAAAGAACGTACTCCTTTTTAAAAGGCCGGCAACGCATCTGCAATTCCCTCCCTGGTGTTGCGGTTGTTCATGGGCGGCGGTAGTCACTTACCATCAGGTGAGCCGCATGCTCGTTTGCCCCCTCTCCTATAAAAAAACCTGTCTATGTGACGCTATTTTCGCGCTTGTCAACTTGATGACTTGTGTGACTTATCCTCGATACCTTGAGCTTGAGCACTTTCAGTGCTCTTTCACATTCTATCAGAGCTAGGCACAAAGTATCTATAGTAATGGAGCTAGGCACTAAACATGTTGTCAAGAGTTGTAACCAGTAACGTTCCATAAAACTAACTACGGAAAACTATCAAATTTTTTAAACTCTAGGTCAATTTTCAAAGGACTTTCTATCAATCTGAATACCTTCCGAGACTGCAGTAGATTATATAATTAATTGGCTGCTAAAATTACGCTACGAAACCAACAACTTTACAATGATTAGTAATGATTGTTAAAATATCGTTCTAGAAGTGTCCATATTTTAAAGTATATATCTAGCAAGATACTGGTAGTACATAATATTATATAAATGGTAACTACGCAAGCGCGCTTCATAAAATCTATATTGCAATTCCTCTCGAACAGACTCCCCAACACCACGCCCCCCCTTACACCCTGACGCTCCCCCGTCCCAACTCCCACCCCAACCCGCCACCCCAACCCCACCCCAACCCCACCCCAACCCGCCACCCCAATCCCACCCCAACCCGCCACCCCAACCCCACCCCAATCCCTAACCCAACCCCTACCCCCCATCTCCATCCCCAATCCCACCCCTAACACCCTTAATCACCAACCCCCACCCACCATCCCCAACACAACACCCCCATCCCCATCCCAAAGGCTGCGCGAGACTTCAACATCGATCTTCCGCCCACACGAGGCTATTTCTGCGAACATGCGCACTACAGCCTGTGGAAATTTCGAGAGCCCCGGAAATGCAAATTTTCTGTCGATATTTTCCATAATAGATGATTATAACCCCATCATTAAGCAACACAATGATTCATTAAAAATATATAATTATATTTATATGTGTATGTTGTATTAGATATTGCCTTGTTAGTGGGATAGAATAGAATATTTTTTTTTATTCAATACAGATAACAAAAATACTTTCTGAGAGTAATTTAAGCTTTACCACTGGTCCGGAAAAAAACTGTCCTGGGAAGAACCAGCTATAAACGCAGCGGGAATTTTTTTTAAATTTATTTACTAAATAAAATGTTTATTATGTATCAAAAGTTTTAGATCACCCCGTTACTAGTGCATAGTTTTTAGTAGCTAGTGTTCTATCAAAATTGTTGAATCAATAAATTATAATAAATAAATAATTTAATTAATAACAATAAATTGTATTATTTATTAATAATAAAACCTAAATACAAAATTAAAATCAAAATACAATCAAAACTACATAATTATTAATTTGTATCTAGTGTTTATTATATGTAGTAACTAAAACTAAATTGTGAAAATTCTATCTAAGCTAAATGTATCTAAAATATTATGCAATGTCATGTGTGTAAGTAATGTTTCTAATGATGTCTAATTATTAATTAACTAAACTAATGTAATTGGATAAGGGTTGCGTATGTAACTAATGTACCGATGATAAAAAGTATATTATAATGTATAAGGCATGTTCGGGCGCTCATTTTTAGTTGCATCGCTCGATATACCAATTGATTAGAAGGTACTGCATTCGAATGCGCAGATGCAAGCAGTGTTTAGTTATTGGTCCTAAAGAAGCTGCACGGTGAGCGGCGCAGCGCCACGGAAATCAATACATCATGCGCCGAGCGTAAAATAAACCGTACATGCCTCCATAAATGAAGTGTACGAAGTTAATAAACCGAAATATGAAAAAAACGTCAGGAGAAAAAATTCTGCACGTGTCCTAATTTCTAAGCAGAGACAATGTCAAGCTTGCAAGAAGTACGAGCGTGAGGGAAACAGGTATGAGAAGGTGGTTAAGCGATAGTGTGAAACATGGGGTACTCTATGAATACTGTACCTTAGCTGACGGTGTCGCCGCCGAGCTGCATGAGGCAAGCCAAGCTGTACTATGCTCGTATCTCAGGCTTTTGTAAAGTATCAAGGGTACATACGTCGTTGGCACTTAACAATATGCAGAGATACGGGGCCGTGGTCGCTACTCGCATGCGGCGGTCGCGGTGCGATGCGGCGAAGTGCTCAGCTGTACGTGTCTCCGGGAGAAGACGTAGGGATAAGGGCCTTAGCTTTCAACTACTTTGTACCAGTCAAGCCTCGAGACATACCGCATAATCGATGGCACAGCATACTGAATCTGAAACGTGCCTGGATCGTGCGGTACATCCCGATTGTTCGTA